GAGTGAAGCTGAAACAATCAGAGCTGACACGTTGAGTTGCCTTATTTTGTATGGCGGCTCAACTCCCTCTTCTTTAATCTGTCAATCAAGCATATGTAGTTCTTCGTAGATATTAAACCCAAGATGATGTTGCACTTACCTTTTTTGGATATGAAGATCACTTTTTAAGAAGACTTTTGCCGAAAAAATTGCATGCTGAAATAAAAATTAACTTCCAGTCGAACCATACTTATGGAATAAAAATTTGAATACTCTGGATATGGTCATAAGAAGCCTATGATTCACTGATTCTGAATTGTGGGAAGAACTAAAAAAACTAAACCAGATGTCTCTTAGAAACGGATATCCAGAGGAGGCAATACAAAACAACATAGGGATGATGATGAACAGATAGAAAGACGGAGATTATGAAAGGAATGGAAAACGAACAGAGGAAAAACGATGTATATGTGTAACCTGCGAATTGGCTCGGAAGCTGCGGCTGATACTATGGAAATGGAACATTGGTACAATCCTGAAAAAAAGGACAACCCCCTTCACCAGCTTACCTAATTAATATGAAGAATGCAATAAAATGGAGTACTCCAAAGTTTACAGCACAAACTGCAAGGACTGTAAACAAAAATACATATGAGAGGTTAGAAGGACAATCAACACAAAGGTCAAAGAACGCCAGCGATTATGCAGAAAAATGGGTACGGAAAGATTGGAGATAGGTGAAGATATCGCTCTTGCCGGTCACATAATTGAGTGGAGTGAAACAAAAAGACTGGCCTCATGTGGGGAAAACACCAGGAAACAAAGGATCAAGGAGGTTGTGGACATCCTCTTCCAGAGAAACCTGATGAACTGCAGATTAGAAAAGGAAAGAGTCAGCGATAATTTCGCGTGCTGCCTGGACAGACTAAAAGATTCAGCGAAGACGCTTGGACCCAGGACAAGTGTTTAACAACATGAAGAGACTTCACCGAGGAGCAGCTCATGAGGATGGAAGACAAGTCATGAAAAGGCAACTGAGAGAAGTCAAATGAGGGATTTTTCAAAAAAATCACCCGAGGGTCTACCTTTGGGACGTAGGATAGGAATGTATAGGCTAAATGTATAGGTGGGCCAGATAAGTCACTAGCGTGTTTGTGGCATTCTTCGTGTGTATACCTTAACGGGGAAGTGACTGGTGACTCGCCTGACCACGGAGGATACCAGCCAACACACAGACATCCGAGTGCCCTAGGATTAGATAGGAGTGTCAACTTCAAAAGCAAGAGTGTGCTTTTCTAGATTCAAGGAAAAAAAGGGGAAGTGGTGCATTTTTACACTAGTGGTTATAAATTAAGAGGATAACTGGGCTATGGATTTGAAGCCTAGGAAAAGGAAGATTCTCAGGCACTGGCTATAAATCCTCGAATATGGCGTAATCGGGGACAGGAATTCAAGGCTCTTAACCATATTTTAGAGCCAAACAGTGAATTTGATGTTTAGCAACGAACAATTGACAGGCGGGGTAGGAAAGAAAAGGAGAAAATGGTCAGAAGCGCTACAAACAGCACCTGGTACAAATGGTGGAGATGATTACGCGTCACTAAACCCACTTGTAGCGACACACTATTAAGCGACATTGAAGGAAACGAGAGCAAAGAATTGTGTGAATAAGTGGATGGGCCATAAATGGGGTTGAGAGAAAGAGATGCGGCACTAGAAGGTAGAACAAAAAGTAGAAGCGAGGAGTGGTGCCACAACGGTCTAACAGAAAATTAGTCAATGGGATTAATTTAACTTATCACTTTGATAAGGCAAAATTCGGTGTTGAGGATGGCGCTTTTCACTGGTAATCCCTACTACGATGAGTTAAGATAGATAAAACATGCAGATATAAATAAATAGATAAAGAGTTAGATAAGAATCTAGTCGAGCTCACGTCATTGTACTGGCATTGAGTCGCCTGAGGCGTCGTAATGATTTCAGTGCTTCAACTATTTGAAACAAGTCGGCATCGCATTCAAGCGGGCGAGTGTGCCATGATGGACGCTGTGAGGTTGGAGCTTCCTCAGTCTGCCGACCCAGGTCCAATTGGGATAGATTAACGAGTCGAGATAACCTAGTGATGGGTCCGTCG